GAAAACAAAAATCCTCACAACTGGACCAATGAGCAGCACCACAATAAATGGAGAGAAGATTGAGGTTGTCAAAGAATTCACGTTGCTTGGTTCTACAATCAATGCCAATGGAAGCAGCAGTCAGAACATTAGACGACATGTAGCATTGGGAAAGTCAACCATGAAGGAACTCTTTCAAGTGCTAAGGAGCAAGGATGTCTCCTTGAGGACTGAGGTGTGCCTGACAGAAGCCATGATATTTCCAATTGCCTCATATGCATGTGAGAGCTGGACAATGAATAAGACCAAAAAAGAGTTGATGCTTTTGAGTCGAGGTGCTGGCAAAGAATGCTAAAAGTACCATGGATTTCTAAAAGAACTAACAGATGTGTCCTGGAGGAAGTGCACCCGAAATGCTCCTTGGAAGTGAGAATGGCCAGACTTCATCTCACCTACTTTGGTCATGTTGTCAGAAGGGACCATTCCTTGGAGAAGGATGTCATGCTTCGTAGGGTGGAGAGCCAACAAAAGAGGGGAAGGCCTTCAACGAGATGGATTGACAGAGCAGCTGCGATGATGGGCTCAAGTATAGCAGGGATTGTGGGGCTGGTGCAGGATTGGGCAGTGTTTTGTTCTGCTGTATATGGGGTCGCTATGACTCAGAAATGACTCGACGGCACCTAACAACAACAATTCTACCACAAACACTAACCCATAACCTGAATGCTAGCCCTAACTCTAACTCTAAAGCAAGCCCTAGGCCTAGCTAGCTTCAGCATAATACCAAACATTACTCCTAGTGCTAACCCCTAATGCTAACTAATACTAAATTTTAACACCACACTAAGCCCTAGTGTAGCTCAAGCACAACTCATAACTTTTAAGACTCACCCTCATACTAACCACAAATCGGACTTAACTCTAACCATAACCCTAAATCCCAAACCTAACCCTAAAACTAAAATTAACCCTAACCATAATTCTAGACTTAATCCTAGCCCTGACTCATACTCTAAATCTAGCACTAGACCTAACCCTATTACTAAACTTTAGCTATAGCCCTAGCATTAATCCTAATCCTAACAATAACTTTAGCCCTATCCCTAACACTAGGCTGGGCCCTATATATAACTTTATCCCTGAATCTAACCATAGTCCTAAACCTAACTGTAGCTCTAGTACAAACCCTAGCTATAGCCAATGTCCTAACCCTAAGCCTAGAATCTAACCTTTTCCCTAAGGTTCATCCTAGATCTAACACTAGCAATGTTCATAGTGCTAGCCATAGCCATAACTGTAACACTAATCCTAATTGTAACTTCTAACCCTACCACCTATACCTACCCATAGCACTAACCATAACCCAAACATGTAACTTCTAACCCTACCATCTATACCTACCCATAGCACTATCCATAACCCAAACCTTAGCTGTGCCCTTAAACTAATTCTAACCCTAGCCTTGGCCATAACCCTAGTGCTAGTTCTAACTCTAACCTCAACCATAGCCCTAGTCCTTACCATCACCATACCCCTAACCTAAACTTAGCCCTAGTCCAAAACTAAAGCGAAACGTAACGCAAAACCTAACCCTGTATTTTACAATAGCTCTAACTCTATTATCCAGATCTAGACCAAGTCTGAGTCCTAGCCCTATACAAATCCCTAACTCTAAGTGTAAACTTAAAACTAAACTCTAACTGCAGTCCAACTTCCAACTGTAAGTCATGTCTAATCCTATCTTTATCCTAACCCTAACATTACACCAAATCCTAGGTCTAACACAAGTTCACTCCATAACTCTATACCTAATCCTAACATTAATCTTAAAAGTAACTCCAAACCTGTGATATCATAGGTGTATGAACTGTTGAATGTTAAATGAATCTGCTTTGTAATCTGTTTCCAAATCACAATAGAAAAATTAAAAATTAAATTTAAAAAATTTTTAATTAAAAATTATTTTAACCTATCTCTTATCATACTACTAACTGTTAACACTAACCCATTAACACTGACCTTAACCATAGCCCAAACTCAAACAGGAGACCAAGTCCTAGGCCTGGACCTAGCCAAATCCATAGCACTAATTCTAAACCCTTAAATTTCACCCCATTCTAATACCATATCTAAAACTAGACCAAGGTCTTAGCATATTCCCTAACATGAATGAAGCCTAAACCTAAAGCTACTTTTAACTCTTCCCCTAACGCTATGTGTATATATTTATGTTTTCTTGAGGAATCGACCTATTATTACATAATATCCTTTTTTATGGCTTATAATAGCTTGCCTTAAAGTCTTACTGACAACTAATATAGCCACTTTAGCTGAATTTTCTTATTATTTGAATGTTATATATTTTTCCCTTTCAACCTATTTGTGTTTTTAGAACTACAGTCTCTTGTATATAGCATAACCAATCTTTGATTTTTATACTGGCCATTTCATACAAGCATGGAAACAGTGCAAGAAATGTTATATGGTTATTTTAAATTTCAAATATTTCCTTCAATGCATCATTACTATTAATAATATAAGAAACAATAATTTAGTGTTGAAAATCAAAGTTTATTAAATGAAAGCTAAATATTTCCTATCATGCGTTGTTCCAATAAACAGAAAAACAAACATGTTACATAACCTCCTGATGTATAAAAGCATGTTTACTAGTTCTGACTGTTCACAAACATGTTTACTAGTACTGTCAAAATATCTCCATTTTTTAAATGGCACATTTCATAGGTAAATATTTTGTTATGCATATTTCTTATAATTTCTTTGGTACCACAAAACAAATTGTGGCACATCAGTTCTAGGTGAAGATTTTATCCAGTATTATGAAATGGAATTTTTTTATCAGAAAAAAAAAGATATATAGTAAAAAACAAATGTTCAGTATTTGTTGAAGACATTTAGATTCATACTATTTTTGATTTCTTAACACTCTTACTTGATGTTCAATAGGATCAGTTTCTTGGTAAAGACTTCCTTATATTTATAACTATCCTTAGTTTTTCCTGAGATTTCTCTGAGTCTTACAGAATGGGACTTGCTAATGAAAGTTTTGATCATTAAGGATGTTGACAAGCATTCTTTTCTGCAATGGATTGACCTGTTATTCCCAATAGATGTGTTGGAGTCCTAATATTTGTACCTGTAACTATGACCCTCTTTAGAAAATGAAGTTTTATTTTGTTAAGTCAATGAGGAAATGCCAAAGTAGGGTAGGTCCTACATCTAATTATATACATTATATAAAGAATTTTTGCATTGTAACCAGAAAACAGATGTCAAAGAATGCCAAGTGCTATTGATAAGGAAATATCTATTAGTGCCACCCCCTTAATTCAGACTTTTAGCCTCCAGCACTGTGAGAAGTAATACATTTCTCTTCTTTAAGCCACCCATTTGAGGACCTTATTTTATAGCAACAGTGGGTTAATTAAGACACCTTGAGTGTGGTATTTTTCTGATGTACAATGATTGACCAAGTTCCCATAGTTCCAACCACGTTCAATAGTCACAGGGTTTCAGGAGCTCTGGTAGCACAGTGCCTAAGGCACTTGACTGCTAATCGAAGGCTAGTAGTTCAAACCCACCAGCCACTCCTCAGAAGGAAGGTTGGGCAATCTATGTCTGTAGTGATAGCGCCTCAGAAACCCAAGGAGGAGTCACTATGAGTCGAGTCCAACTCCATGGCACATAACAATATAACAACAGAAAGATGTGAAAGCACTGTGCCAGCAGTGTCAACTTTCAAAACCTATATAGGATACAAAGTTGCATTTTTGTTTTATTTAAAAAAAAAAAAAGTCAACCAGTTGAGATCTGAAAGGGGTGAATTCTTCTCAATCCATTTATTCAGAACTCCAGCTTCTTTCATCCTATGCTCTGCCATGTCAAATGTATGACATTCATGTTTGTCATGGAAGTCATCTCTCATTTTAACAGGGTCACGAAGAATATGAAGTAGGTCTTTAATGGGCTACACTTAGATATGGCATTTGCAATTAACATAAAAAACACACCAGCAATCACCTGGGCATACTCAAATGAACTGAGGATTAAGAATTTTAGAATAGCTGTGTGTCTAGGTTAAAAGGACATGGTTACAAGTGAACAAGTTAAGTTGTTGAACTACATGATGTGAGTTTCTCCCTTATGTGAAGGTATCTAATAGCTGACTTACATGGAAAAAGGTTGTTCACTTGTGTGAATTCTGATGAATTTTAAAGGCTGCCTTCTAGACAAAAGTTTTCCTACATTTATTGAATTTACAGGTTTTATCTCATGTGAATTTGTGAATGATTTCTGAGGGTAGAATTATCAGCAAAAGTTTTCCCACATCCATTACATTTGGAGGGTTTTTCCCATGTGTGACTTTTCTGATATACATTGAGTCCTGGCTCCTGACACGTGGTTTTCCCACATTCATAGGATTTCTCTCCTCTGTGAATTCTTTGGTGTACTCTGAGATTTGAATTTTGGACAAAAGCTTTTCCACATACATTACATTCATAAGGCTTCTCTCCTGTGTGAATTCTCTGATGTGAAATGAGGTATGACTTTACAGAGAAACCTCTCCCACATTCATTACACTCAAAGGGTTTCTCTCCAGTGTGAATTCTCTGGTGTGCTATGAGAGTATCATTTCGAGCAAAAGCTTTTCCACATTCATTACATTCATAGGGTTTCTCACCTGTGTGAATTCGCTGATGTGTGCAAAGGTTTGCCTTATGGGAGAAAGATCTCCCACATTCATTACACTCATAGGGTTTCTCTCCTGTGTGAATTCTTTGATGTGCACTGAGCTGTATTTTAAGGGTGAAGGTTTTCCCACACTCATTACATTTATAGGGCTTCTCCCCTGTGTGAATTCTCTGATGTGCCCTGAAGTGGTCTTTACGGGAGAAAGATTTCTCACATTTATCACATTTATAGGGTTTTTCCCCTGTATGAACTCTTAGATGTGTAATGAGATTCCCCTTCATGTAGAAAGTTTTCCCACATTCATTACATTCGTAAGGTCTCTCACCTTTGTGAATTCTCTGATGTACTCTGAGGCTTGAGTTATCAGCAAATGTTTTCCCACATCCTTTACATTCATAGGGTTTTTCCCCAGTATGAACCCTCTGATGTACAATGAGGTGCGTCTTTTGGGAGAAAGTTTTTCCACATTCCTTACATTCATAGGGTTTTTCCCCTGTGTGGATTCTCTGATGTGTACTGAGGTGTTTCTTCTGAGAGAAAGGTCTCCCACATTCATTACATTTGTAGGGTTTCTCCCCTGTATGAATTCTCTGATGTGTACTGAGGTGTGTCTTCTGGGAGAAAGATCTCCCACATTCATTACATTCAAAGAGTTTCTCCCTTGTGTGAATTCTCTGATGTGCACTGAGGTGTATCTTCTGGGAGAAAGATCTCCCACACTCATTACATTTGTAGGGTTTCACTCCTGTGTGAATTCTCTGATGTGCACTGAGGTGTATCTTTTGGGAAAAAGACCTCCCACATTCCTTACATTTGTAGGATTTCTCCCTTGTGTGAATTCTCTGGTGCATACTGAGGTGTGCCTTCTGTGAGAAGGTTTTCCCACATTTGTTACATTCGTAGGGTTTCTCCCCTGTGTGAATTTTCTGATGTGCTATGAAGGATGAATTCTGGGAGAGCATTTTTCCACATTCCTTACATTTATAGAGTCTCTTCTTTTTGTCTCTTTTCTGGTGCTCTTTGTAAACTGAATTCTTATAAGATTTCCTACATTTATTAAAATGTTTCTCTCTTGCATGAGTTCCTAGATGCTCACTGATGTTTGACTTCTTGGACAAAGCTTTTCCACATTTATTACATTCATGGAATTTGACTCCCATATGAGTTCCACTGTGCTGAATTAAGTGTGACTTCCAACAACAGAATTCCTGACATTCCTTACCGTCATAGGGGTTCATCCCTGAGTGGGTCCTCTGATGCTGTACAAGGTGGGTTTTCTGACAAAAGGATTTCCTACATTCATTACATTCACAGGACTTCTTTCTTGTGTCATTTTGCTGATGTATACTGAGGACTGAATACTGACATAAAAACTTATCAAATTTACCACATTTGTAGAGCTTCTCTTCTAGGTGAGTTTCCTGATGCACTGTTAAAAACAAACAAACAAACAAATCTTTATAATAAAAGTCTTTTTGCATCTTTCTATAGTAACTCAAAAATCTAAAATTAGTTCCTGCTTGTATCATTCTTTTGTTGTTGCTTTTGTTATGTGCCATCAATTCGGCCCTGACTCACATCGACCCCTCCTTGGGTTGCTGAGGCAGTATCACTACGAAAGTAGATTGCCCAACCTTCCTTCTGAGGAGTGGCTGGTGGGTTTGAACTGCCAGCCTTCTGGTTAGCAGTCAAGTGCCTTAAACACTATGCTACCAGAGCTCCTGTATCATTCCTTTACAATTTTTAAAATAAAATATCAATTGCCATAAAATCAACTTATATAAGTCAGAACAGAACTGTCTTTCATAGGATTTTCAGTGGCTGATTTCTTTACAGTAGCTCACCAGGTCTCCATTCCAAGATGACTCTGGGTAGATTCGAACCACTTGCAGCTGAGAAAATTAACCATTTGCACTACAAGGACCTCCTTTTAAATGAAACTTAATCATAAATATAGGCAGTCTCCAGATTATGAATGAGTTCAGTTTTTATGTCTGTTTTTAATTTGAATTTGTACAAAACAACAGTTAGGTATGGTTCATATCTAATATTAGTTACTCAGATATCTGTCTTACTATATATAGTATACAGTATATAGTATACATTTCTATGTATAAGAAATATTTTTAAAAAAATTCCAAATACACTAAAACATCTTTAATGTAACACAGTAATAGGAATGTTTTGATGTGTGTAGCAAAATAGCATCCATTTGTTATTATGAACTTTGGTTGTAATTCAGATTTTTAATGTAATAGGCTTTAGGGGAGTTGGTCCATAACTACATGCAGAACAGTGAATTACTTAATATGGCTCCTCTAGGCACAATCTTTGTAATGTTCTCCAAATGACTGGTTGTGTTGTTGTGGTTGTTATGTGCCATCAAGTCGGCCTTGACTCATAGCGACCCCTCCTTGGGTTGCCAAAGCAGTATCACTATGGAAGTAGATTGCCCAACCTTCCTTCTGAGGAGTGGCTGGTGGTTAGGACTATGCAAATCTGAGGTCCGTGTGGCCCACCAATGGGATTGGACAACCTGCAAATAAGGTGCATAGCACTCTTGTGTGGTTGGACCATTCAAATAAAGTACACAGAACCTGAACAAGGAGATTGGTTAGTTTTTCCATCCTGGTAGGCTAAGTGCGGGGAACTTGGATTCAAATGTTGCACTCTGCTTTTGTCTTTTCTTCTTGATAGTAGTGAAGTCCCCCATCTCTGTCTCTAGGCCCACACTCAGAACCTCCTAATCCTAGGAGACAGAATGAAAGAACTGTAACACTGGAGATGGTATAAGATGGTGACAAGTGGTGGCAGGTGAAGCAGGAGACCAGGAGACCAGGAGGAGGTGGTGCACTGGGCTTTCCAGCCCACAGAGCAAGGCAGTTACAGTAAACATGTCAATTCAAAGAGCAACAGAGATAAGCTCCTTCAGAATGAGGCTTGCTGCAGAATGGGGTGGAACTAAAGAACTTTGTAACACTTGTCTGGTCAGGGCAGAGGTTGGGCTAAGTAGCCAAGGACCTGAGGGCAAGGGAGAAGCTGGCATGGATGAGAACAGGTTGTCTTGATCTAAGAACTGTATCCTGAGTCATTATTAATCCTAATTGTAACCTAGTACTTCCCTAATAAACTCCATAATCATGAATAGTATCTTCAAGTTCTGTGTGGTCACTGCAACAAATTATCAAACCTAGCAGAGGAGTAGAGGGTGCTGTGGAAGGGACAGTTGGTGTCAGAACTGGCAAAAAGGTTGGAGAATGGAGGTCTGTCTGACCTCCACTTTATAGGACTTAGCCTTGGGATGCTGATATTGATCTCCTTCCACCTTGTGAAGTTAGATGAGGAGGTCAGATATCCCCACCATATCATTTTTACAAGCAATCACTGCCAAAACTCAACCCATAACCATCTCCCTAAATGATATGCTATGGAAAAAAAATCATTAAATGGCATTGGAAAAAGGAAAACAAAAAAGTGTTGCTTTAGGGCACTGGTGCAAATCATTTCAGCTGGGAGAAGAAAACATAAACAAACAAACAAACAAAAATTCATACACCCAAGCGAAAGGGCAAGAATGCATAGTAGGCCCAACAGTCCTTTGAAAAGATGAAAAAAATTTATAAATCACTAGGCTGACTGAGCAAGACAAAGAAAAAGAGAAAAGAAACCAATTACTAATATCAGGGTACATAACTGCAGACATAGATTTACAGGGATAATATGGAAACATTAGAAGAAACTCTATACCCATTAATTTGACATCTTAGAATATAAGAACTACTAAAGAAGGAAAAAAAATTGTCAAGTTAACTCTGGTTCATGGCAAGCCTATGTCTGTCAGAGAAGAACTGTGGATGATTTTTTGGAAGTAAATATCCAAGCTATTCATCCAGTGTGCTGCTAGATGGACTAGAATCATTATACTTATTCTTAACAGTTGAGTACATTAACAGTTTACATCTCCCAGGGACTTAAATGATAAGAATAAATTTATATCTGTTTAAAAATCTGAATATGTAGATAAAAAGCCTTCCAAAATGAAAGAAACTGGCTCAAGTGATTTTACTAGAGAATTCTAGCAAACATGAAAAAAAAAACAAAACAAGAAAAACCTAACAAGTCTATGTAATATCTTCTAGAAAATAGAAGATGAGTGGATATTTCTCAAATCGTATTTTGAGGCTTGCATTACACCCATTCCTAAACCAGATAATGACAATACAAAGGAAATTACAGATCAGTTTCCTTCATGAAAAAGAACACAGAAATCCTTATGAAAATATCAGCAAATCAAACCTAGTAATTTGTAAAAATGGTAATAATTTACAGCCTACTAGAGTTTATCACAGAATGCAGTTGTTTCAAAACTGAACAGGCAATGAATGTAATCTACCCAATTAACAGTATGAAGAATTAAACCCACATGGTCACATTAATTGATGCAGAATGGCATTTGACAAAATTGAGCATACATTCAATGTAAAAACTATGACTAAAGTACAAAGGGAAGGGAACTAACTTAACCTAATGAAGGACTCTACAAAAACTGTACCACTAACATCACAATTAATGGTGAGAAACTGAATGTTTTCCCTTTAATATCAGGAAAAAAGCAAAGATGTTCTCTCTTTCCACTTATACTCAACATTATGCAGTTAGTCTAAGTAAGTACAATGGCCAAGAATAAAAGGAATAGGAGAAGTCTATTTAGAATATTACAAATACAGCTACAAAAAAAGCTCCAAGAGTTGGCTGCAAAACACAAGGCCAAGATTCAAAGTGACTTGTGTATACATGTACCAACAATGAATAATTAGGAATCTGAATAATATAAATGGTAAAATTTACAATAGCACATAAAAAAAGCTATGTTAAAAATATAGAGAGCAAAATATGTGTAAGAGGTGTAGGCTGAAAAGCATTATCCCTAATTTGGTCTATCAATTCTATAAAATTCAAATTGAAATCCCAGCAAGTGTTTTGTAAATACTGAGAAGAAAATCTGAGTTTCCAAAACTTACGTGGCATAAGAAGAAAGTTGGAGTACTGACAACACTTGATTTCAAGATTTAATATAAAGCAGTATTAATCAAGACAGTGCAGAACTGGCAAGAGAGACATATACATCAATGAAAAGAATAAAGAGCATAGAAACAGAACAAAACAAATACAGGCAACCAATTTTTGAAAAAAATCACAAAGACAATTCAAAAGATAGTCTTTTCAACAAATGATTTTGAAATAATTGAATGTCTTTACTAAAAAAAAAAAAAAGAAAAAGAAAAAGAAAAAGGAAAGAACCTAGGCACATATCTAACATTATACAAAAATAAATATAAAAATGGAGCATAAACATAGGAAGAATTTTGCTTTACACTGGCTTTATCAACTTTTGGAAAACAAACAAAAAAGCAGTTCATGAAAAAAAATCGGTAAAAACTGATAAAAGGATGTACCGACTCAGGAGCATAGCACAGGGAGACAGCAGACTCAATTGGCACAACGAAATACATAAAAACCTTGTTCCTCATCCAACATTGGTGAGTAGTGAGTAGGGTCTTAAAAGCTTTCAAGGGCCACCTAAGATCCAGCTAATGATCTCCTATCGTTGGAAGTAAAGAGTGCAAAAACCAAGGGCATGTGGAAGCAATCAGCCCTAGGACATGATGGACCTCGAGACCAAAAGAACTAGATGGTGCCCAGCTACCAATGCCAATCACTCAGGAAAGGATCAAAACTGGAGATTCTGGATAGAGTGGGAGGAAAAACGTGGAACAAAATACAAAAATACAATAATGACCAGAATTACTTGTCGGATAGAATCCCCAACACTATGGCCTTGGGATACATTGGGGGCCTGGAAAAAAAAATAGGTAAAAACTGATAAAATGTGGATTGTACCAAAATTAGAACTTCTGCCATGCAAAAGACACTGTCAAAAAGAATAAAAAATATTTGCTATTTTTATATTTGATTAAAAGAATCCTAGTGGCACAGTGGTTAAACTGCTAACCTGATAACTAAAGGTTGGTAGTTCAAAACCACCAGTTGCTCCACTGAAGAAAGATAAGGCAGTCTATTACCATAAAGATTACAACCTTGGAAACTCTATGGGGTAGTTGTACCCTGTCATATAGGATTGCTTAGAGTCAGAACTGACTTGACAGAAATGGGTGGTATGATTTCTTATTAAAGGTTTGTGTCCAGAAAGTGAGAGCTCTGGTGACATGGTGCCTAAGGCATATGATGCTAACCAGAAAGCTGGCAGTTCAAACCCACCATCTGCTCCTCGGATGGAAAATAAAAAGAATTCTTAAAATTCAACAATAAAGAAATGAACATGAAAAAAACAAGAAAAAATGAGCAAAAAATATTACATCAAAAGACAGCTTACTAAAGAAAATACAAAGATGTCAAATAAGCATATGAAAACATGCTCAACTCTTTACTCAGTTGTTGTTGTTATTTGCCGTCGAATCGGCCCTGACTCATAGCGACCCTTCCTTGGGTTTCCGAGGCAGTATCACTACAGAAGTAGGATTGCCCAACCTTCCTTCCGAGTCTTTACTCAGTAGGGAAATCTAAATTAAAGCATAAAGACTACACACTACACGCTTATCAGAATGGCTAAACCAAAGACAAAACTATGTACTGGCATGAATGCAGAATAATTTGATCTGTCAATACAGTTGGATGGTTAGAATGCAAAATCGTTCAGTTACTTTGGAAAATAGCTTTAGTATTTCTCATAAAATTAAACATACACTTACAATGCAATCTAGCAACACCATTCCTAGCTACTTACCTGGGTGAATTAAAAACTTGTTTCTACCAAATCCTGTAAGCCAAAGTTTATAGCAGCTTTACTCATAATCATAAAAAACTCAAGGGCAATGGGCTTTCAGATTTGGAGGTCCCTGGGTGGCACAAAATCTTTACACTCAACTAAAAACTGAGTGGTTGGCAGTTCATACCACATAGTGGTATAGTTATTTAAAAAAAAAAAAAAAAGAAAAAGAAATGGCAATCTGCTTCTCTGCTTCTTTAAGATTGCAGATAAGGAAACCCTATGAAGCAGTTCTACTCTGTCAGACATGGAGTGGCATGAGTTGAAATCAACTCAATGGTAATGGGTTCAGGTTTTTTGGTAATCAAGTGATTAGATGAGATATATTTTGATTTACTAGTTCTAATGAAAGTTCCCTGAATGGTTGAAATGCTTTGCGCAAGACTACTAACTGAAAACTAGGCAGTTTGAGCCAACTTGCATGCATGCCGTGGAAGGCCTGGCCATATGCTTCCGTAAAACTTATAGCAAAGAAAACCTTATAGGAACTCAGTTCTATCTGTAACACAAGAGGTTCCCATGAGTTGGAATCAATTCAATGTCAACAGATTAGTTTTCATTAATTTTTACTTCTTTTTAAAGCATCAACATTTTTTGTTCTATAAACAGTAATTCTATGGTGTGTAATGCATAGACAATCAAAATGCTTACAAACCAAAAAACCAAATACTGCTATCAAGTCAATTCTGACTCATAGTAATCCCCTCTGGGTTTCTGAGGTGATAAACCTTTAAGGAAGTAGACTGCCCAGTCCTCCTTCCATGGAGTGGCTGGTGGGTTTGAACCACCAATCTTCTGGTTAGCAGTCAAATGCCTTGGGCACTACTCCACAAAATGCTTATAGGTTCACTGTAAATAGTGCTTTTTAGCTCAAGTGCCTTCTTTCATTTAATGCTTTTATTCCCCAACTTCAAACTTCAAGGATAAGGAGATCATAAAACTCTGCATGACTTCATTTACATTGACTTAACAACTTCAAAATTTTTCAATTGCAATCTAATTTACTTATATAGGGATCTATTTAATTCATTCAATCACTTATATTTTTGATAACCATACATGCTTATGAAAATTGTCAATTTTTTTATTATTCTGTTTGTAGGGGTTCATAAAATATATTTTAGTGTGTTTTTATTTTTGCTCTAGGAATTCTATTTAAAACTACACCTTTTTGAAATTTATGAAATTGTCTATTAGTTTTAGCAATATCCAGACATTTCTTCCTATAAGTAATTATGCAATTAGTATGCTGCTTCTCTACTTTCCCCTTCTCCAACCACAATTTGTGTTGACTTCATAATTGTTATTTTGGATTTTTGAAGTATTAAATACACTTATAACTCTATTACTTGATTTCTCAGATTTAAAAATTATTTTTGATACATCAGCTTTTCAAGATGAAAAATTTCATCACGCTTACTTTCCTTCCTCTATGTTACAACATCTCCTTCTTTTATTTATTGGCTATATCTTTTCTAAAAGGATCTCTGGTGTTACAGTTGTTAAGGCATTTGGCTGCTAAGCAAAAGGTCAGCTGTTTGAACCCACCAGCCACTCCATGGAATAAAGATGAAGTAGTCTGCTTCTGTAAAGATTTACAGCCTTGGAAACCCTATGGGGGTCACTATGAGATAGAATTGACTCGATGGCAGTAAGTTTTGACCCCATTGGGTTTCTGGGACTGTAAATCTTTATGGAAGTAGATTGCTCAGCCTTCTGTGGAGCAGCTGGTGGATTTGAACCACTGACCTTCCGGTTAGCAGTCAAGTACCTTATCCACTATGCCAGCAGACATCTCACAAAGGTATTAGGCCTCTTAAAAAGTATCTAAAAATTTTTTCAAAGATGTTTAACCCTAAAGTTGAACTATCCCAGGATTCTTTCTGCCAGTGTTCAGAAACTCACCCAGGTAGCTATGGTTTGGGAATGCTTCGTCTAAGGACCAGGGCTCTCTTCCTTGTTCCAACTTGAAGATCATCTCTGGTTTGGTAATGCAATACCCTGAAAATGGGGAAAAACTGAGAGTTTAGACCAAATGAAGGCAGAGGAAGCAAGATTCAGGAAAAGCAAATGAAGGTGTTCTTCTGAACTTTTCAATGGGAAGATGAAAACAAAATTATTGTTTCTATTGCTCAAAATGGTTGCTCAAAACCTTACCTTAGACCCCTAGATCAAAAGACTGATTAATATTAACTTCTATAAAAAGTTCACTTATTTTGATAATTTAAATGGAAAGAAAAAGAAATGCACTCTAATGGGAGTCTGCTAACCCACTGAGAGAAGGTGGTTGTAGTTTTCCAGCATCACATCTCTGAACAGGGTCTTCTGAGTAGGACTCATGTGCTGCCAGTCCTCCTGGGTGAGCTCCACAGCCACATCCTTAAATGATACTGACACCTATAAAAGAAAATTTCTGGTCAGTCTGAAGAGTTTAGAAAAAGTGTCATAGAAAACATATTTTGGATCTAATTCTTACCATGTTTACTCTTTTTTTTTTTTTATTATTAGGATTTGGGTGAAGATTTACAGAGTAAATTCACTTTTCATACAGCAGTTCACATATACTTTGTCTCATGTCATTGACCAAAATTTACAATG